TGACACCCCATCCCCAGCAAGCATTCATTGCCAATAGCCCCCCTTCCCAGGGAGGGGAGTGGACTTGTGAGCCCCCCTCATTTAGGAGTCTTCTTGTGTGAGACCTTTCGGTATGAGTGGGGCTCAGAGCCTGTCGGGGAGGCTGGCTGAGTTACCATTCGCGCGCCAGGCTTTGATTGTGTGCCACACTTGGCCTCTTTCAGAGAGCCACATGCAAATTCTCTCTAAAGTGCCACTTTCCCGAGACATAATAGAGAACTATTGTTTGGGGATGTGAGCCTGGGGTTCTGGGATAATAGCATTTTCGGGAAGAAAAATCACACCCCCATCATTTGCACAGCTGAGAACATGAAACCTACGATTGAACCATTCTGGTTAAAAAGAAGCATTATCTGGTGTGATGGGTCTACCTGCGTGAGCCTGTGGGAAGGCAGGTGAGCAGGGGCTTGCAGGTGCTGTTGGAAACGAGTTGGTAAAATCCATTTGTCCATCCAAGAATTATTAAACGCAATCACAGCTCTGTTGAGAAGTGGGAGGCAGACGTGGGCAATTTGCCACCATCAAAAGAGAAGCACAGAGGAGAATGGGGTGGGGTGGGAGAGGAAGGGACGGGAAGAAAACGGGACTCAGGAAGTTCAGACTGAAGTGCCAGCTGGGGGCAACAGCCAAACTCTAGAGGTCCTTTTAAGGACTGTAGGCCATATGTAGGTGACACTGAGTTGTTGATGTGACTGTGTTCTTGACTATGGGTCCCACTTGAGGCAGGAGCTGAGAAGCGGGAAGACCGTGGGGCTTGGGATGAAGGACTTAGGCAAATATTGTGCTCTCCATCCTTGGACAAAGTGGGGGGCAGGGGCTGCCCATTGCTTCTCCTCTTTTCATCTCCTCTGCACTAGCGATTTTATCTTGTGAACTATTAAATATCCTCAGATGAATAGTGTAGCCTAGTGGCTTCCTGCCTGTGAGATTCACTTGGGGATCTCAGAAACCACTAAAGCAAACCTCCCCTGACCATCTAAGTCACCGAATCACATCTCTGGGTAGAAACACGGCTGACACACAGTTTTACAACTCAGCCCCACACAATGGGCCCAAGGGAAAGTCCAATACCTATTTTTGAGTCCCATATTATATAGCAAAAAATTACTTAAAAATATTCACACATCCTCAGTGTCCATCGTAGAATATGACCGTGACAATGGGCAGGTGTAGAAATGACATGCATTTAGCAGTGATCTTGTTGAACTCTCAAAGATCAAAACAGAACTACAGCCAAAGCCACATCCTAACTGAAATAATGAGGAACTGGGAAGTGGGAATACGTTGGCAGAGAGAACTACATGGAATTCAGGGAGAATCAGAGGTGTAGTGAAGGGGAGGGAAAGACCAGTGCTACCCATGTTTGCTCTGCCAGCCTTAATGCTCACTCCCTGTGCTCTTCAGATTAACTTTTTTCACCCACCCCATGCCCTTAGGGAACCTGCTCAGGTTCTTCCTAAGAGACAAGGCTGACTGTCTAGATAAGTGGTTCTTAATCTGCCTTATGCTGCGACCCTTTAGTTCAGTTCCGCATGTTGTGGTGACCTCCCCAACCATAAAATTATTTCATTGTTACCTCATAACTGTAATTTTGTTACTCTTATGAATTGTAAAGTAAATATCTGTGTTTTCTGGTGGTCTTAGATGACCCCTGTCAAAGGGTCGTTGAGCCCCCAAAAGGGTCTTGACCCACAGACTGGGAGCCACTGGTCTAGGCTATCACCAATTCATAGATGGATAAATGAGAAGAGACCCACTGAAGGCCTCTTCTGACCTCACTTCACTGGACCTCTAACAACTTCAGGTGAGGGAGCTGCAGCTGCAGAGGGGAGTTCACCAGGCTCCTAGTCTCCTGACTCCTTAGTGTTTGCCAGACACCACGTTTCTTCTTCATGTCAGCTCTGGCTTCCGTCCGTATCATCAACACGAAGTCCCTTTGCTTTCTTGGCCCTTTGCTTTGACTATTGACAAGCACCGAGTAGGTGCTTAAAAGATGGAATACATCAGGATACTTTTGTGGCTTTCCTTAGACTGTGTGTGTTTGTTTATTTATGTATTTGTGAGTGTGCATGCACATCACATGCAGAAGCCTGGGGACAACTTGCTGGAGCTGGTTCTCTCCTTCCAGCATGGGAGTTCCCAGGATCAAACTCAGGCCGTCAGTGGCCTTACTCAGTGAGCCACCTTGCTGGCCCCATGGCTTTCCCTCTTTTCCTTTCTTGATGGTGTATTTCACAGATAAAATAAAAACAAAAATTCTCCCTTCATTGATTTTACTGAGTCTTTTGTAGACTATACCTTTGGTGTTGTGTCTAAGAAGTCTTTTGCAGATTAATGTCAATTAGATTTCTTTCCTATTATCTCCTGGGGGTCATATAGTATTGTATTTTGCATCTTGATCTTTGCTCCATCTTAAGCTTTTATGAAGGGTGTAAACTTTATTTTTAGATTTTCTTTTGCATCCATATATCCAGTTTCTCCAGAACCATTTGTTGTAAAGGTCTTCTTTTCCCCATTGTGTTTCTTTTGATAATTTGTCAAAGATGTTGACTATATTTATATAGTCACTTGTGGGATTTTTATTGTGTTGCTAATCAATTTATCTTGTTATTATTACTTTTTGATCAATACGTCACTGTCTTGATTACTGTGGTTTTATAGTAACTCTTGATTGAGGTTGGATAATATTAGTTTTCCAACTTTGTTCTTTTTAAATAATATGCTGCCTATTCTGGCTCCTTTGCATCTCCAAATAAACATTAGAATTCAATTTGTTGATACTGATCAATGGATGTACTGAGATTTTGACTGAGATTACATTGACTCTAGATCAATTTAAGAAGAACTAGTAACTCATCATTACTGAGATGTCCCGTCTTACATACAAACTCTTTATTTATTTAGTATTTCTTTGACATCTTTCATCACAGTTTTGCAATGTTCCATATTTAGATGGCACATGTTTTTACTTAAATTGCATGTATTTATTTAGTATGCCTGTGTGCCTGCATGCATGCTACAATGTATGTTGAAGACTGGAGGACAGCTTGTAGAAGTCAGTCTTCTCTTTCCATTATATGGGTTTCAGAGATCAAACTCAAATGATCAGGCTTGGTGCTCTTTACCCAGTGACCCATTTTGCTGCCCCAAATTTTCTTATATTTAGTGCTTAAATATTTTATAGTTTTTTTGTTAATACAAATGTTTTGGGTAATACAAATGTTACTGAGTGTGTTTTTAAAAATTTTAATTATTATTTGATTTTATGTATATGGGTATTTTTCCTCTATGTATTTTTGTGTACCACATGTGTGCCTGCTGTCTGTGGAGGTCGTAAGAGGGCATTGGATCCCCTGGAGTTACAGATGGTTGTGAGTAGCCAGGTAAAAGCTGGGAACTGCACGTGGGTCCTCTGGAAGTGTAGCCAGTATTCTTAGCCACTGAGCCATCTCTCCAGCTCCTGTACTTCTACTCTTGAATTCAACTCTTTGATTGCTGATATATAAGGAAACTCAGCACTGAGAGCCCATTTGGCTTGAACTCTGTAGGCCCTGTGCGGGTCTCTATGGTCTCTATGACTTCATACATGTCAATCATGGAAGGCACTGTTTTCTTGGTGTCTTCTATCCTCACTAGCTCTTAAAATCCTTTAGCCACCTCTTCCACATAGCGCCTTGAATCCAATGGGAGAGATTTGATGGAGACATCCTATTTAGGGCTAAGTGTTCCAAGGTCTCTCACTCTCTGTGCTTTGTTCCATTTGTGGGTTTCTGTATTAGTTCTCATCTATGGCAGGAGGAAGCTTCTCTGATGATGGCTGAGCAAGATACTGATCTATAAGTGCAGTAGAATGTTAGTAGGAGTCATTTTTATTGCTATGCTCCTTTAGCTGAACAGTAGTATTTAGTTTGACCCTAGGTCAATGGCCTATCTAGTCTCAGGTTCTTGACTACCTGAGCAGTGTTAGGTATGGGTCCCATATCATGGAGTGGACCATCAACCCAATCAGTTGGTGGTTGGTTACTACCACAACTATAGTGCCATTATTGTACCAGAGTATTATGTAGGCATGTCTCCACTTTAGATAATAGTGTGTGTAACTGGGTTGGTGCTGACCTGTTTTTCCTCTGGTTGTGTGCAAAGTACCTTCTAGTATCATGAGCACTAATCGCTACTTCTCCATGTTCAGTGAACTATGTAAGTTTTGTATTCAGCAATAGACCCTCACCATCAGAATATGGAGAGCAACCAGAACACTTAACAATAACCTGAGTTGTTGGGAGTTTCCATGCTGCACCTTTGGCCAACAACTTGATTAGATGTAACCCATTCCTTGTACTGGGGGATTTCACTTGGTGGTGAGAGATGTCTAGTTGGTGCTTTGTTTCCCCTGTTATTTGGTGACTCCAATTAGATTTCTTTTATATATGTATATATTTTAAGAAACTTTTACTATAGTAGGTTTACATGCCATTTAAGTGACCCTTAGTATTAGATGTCCCTCCATGTATTTTCTCCCTTACTCCCATCTTCCCTCCACAACTTTGTTTAATGTGTATTAACTTTATATCCTGTAATCATGCTCAAACTGCTTATTAATTATATGAGGCAGTATGATAATTCATTCAAATTTTCTACATAGGTGATTATGCTATCTGAAAACATATGTTTTCTTCCTCTTTTCCTCCTTTGTACATTTTAGCTATGATTTGGTCTCTTATTGCTATAGTTATCTCTTCTAGAATTTTATTGTAACACAGGAGCAAAAAGATGTCTTATTCTTCATCTTTGCAAGAAACCTTTGAATTTCTTACCATTCACTTCATTTCTTTCAGAAAAACCCAAATCTTTATTTTATAGGAGTAAATAAACATATATTTGTGTATAAATATACACATGCAATACATATACATATATGTATTTATATATATGTACAAATCCCCAACAAAAGATGCTATTTTTATAGCATGGACCACTTCACAGATTTGTGTCATCCTTTCACAGGGTCCATGCTAATCTTCTCTATATCATTCCAATTTTAGTATATATGCTGCAAATATTATTGAATGCCTATTCTCTAGCAGGCATTATTTTATATGCAGGAATATAATTGCAAGGCAGTGCTGCAAAACTCCCCAAAATCCTGGGACTTCGGTTCTAGAGTGTTTGTAAAGTTGATGAAAGGAAATATGGCACATATCTGCTTTCAAGGTCAGAAATCACTAAACACCCCAGACCGGGGGCCTTGGACAATAGCATTCTATTGCCTCACTGTTCTGGAGCCTAGAGGTACAACATCAAGGTGTGCACGGATGCTTTACTTATTTTTCTAGTTACTATGACAACATGCCTGACAAAGGCAAGCTAAGAAAGGGAAGGTTTACTTTGGCTCACAGTTTTAGGATACAGTTCATCTTGGATAAGAAGTTGTGGCAATATGAGCAGTAAGAGTGTGAGGTGGGTGATCATATTTCATCCACAGCCAGGAAGCAGAAAGAGAGCCATACTAGTGCTTAGCCTGCTTTTTTCCCTTTTTATTCAGCCCAGGACCCCCATCGATGGAATGGTGTCCCTGTGTGTAGGATAGATCTTTCTCCATCAATTAACCTAGTCTGGAAACTCAAATACATGCCCAGAGGCTTACCTCCTGGATGATTCTAGATCTTCTCAAGTTGACAATCAGTATTAACCATTATGTAGAGTCTATGCTTGGCTGGTGACTAGTCATTTTCTCGTGCCTTCACTTGCCAGTTGTCCCTTTGTCTAAACCTATGTCTGAGCTTTCTCTTGCTGGATTAGAATTCACCCCAATGATCCCATTTTTCATGCAACTACTTCTTTGAAGAATTCTGTATATGCAATTACAGTCTTAGGTACTAGGATGTTAGCATATGAATTTCCAAAGGGATACGATTCAGCCACTATATATAGTATAAGTTAAAAACTGGTTTGGATATTGGTATAGCCTATGTTGATTGTCCACCCCTGGCCCCTCTTGCCATAGAAAGAAGAGTGGCTTTGGTCAACAGAGTGGCCCAAAGGGAACACTAAGTTTTTTCTTCTGAAATTACACAGGCTACGTGATTATTAGACCTATCTAGGCATCATTAATGATATTCTGAGGCAGTGGTTCTCAACATGTGCGTCATAACTCCTAGGCAAAGGGGGGTGTCAAATGACCCTTTCGTAGAGGTCACCTAATACTATCAAAAACATAGATATTTACATTATGATTCATAACAGCAGCAAAGTCATTGTTAATGAAGTGCCAATGGAAATAATTTTATGGTTGGGGGGGTCACTGCAACATCAGGAATTGTATTAAGGACCACAACTTTCCTATTGTATTAGGAAGGTTGAGAACCACAGTTCTAGGGGCTGGAGAGATGGCGAGGTAGTTAAGAACGTGTATTGCTCTTGCAGAAGACTTGACTTTGGCTTCCAGCGCCTACACTGGATGATTTAACTGCTTGTGAACGCTAGTTCCAGGAGATCCAATGCTCTCTTCTGGACTCTGCAGGTACCTACATCCACATGCACATGTACACATTAACTTAAAAATCAAAGAAATCTTTAAAAAATGATGTACTAAACAAGCCCAGGTCTTGTTTGTATGTTTAACATAGCTTGCTGGTGATAAGTGAGTTATTTCTATAAACAACAACTCATGGAAAATCTGCAGCCATTCCAATGGAAAGCACTAAAGTTGTTTATTTTCCTCCCCCCTTTAATCACCTCTTATTTTGCTGATAAGGTTCTAGTGTGAACAGTTCCTGCTGTTTTATGTGCTCTGCTGCCATGTGGCTCATTGGTTTCTCTTCATCTGAGCTTCTGTGATTTTACTAAACAAATCACTTTTCTTGGTCATGATAAGTTCTTGGCGTTGACATGCTGATCACGAATCCACTGAACTAACCTCCTTTCTGTGCAGTATTAGACTGGCTTTTGGAAACAAGGTAAAGATTCTGTGATAGCTTATTTAAGCCATCAACTTGAAAAGTCACCTGTAAGACACATCTCTGGGCACACGTATGAGGGATTGTCTTGGTTTGGTTAACTGAGATGGGAAGACTCTCTGGAAGCGTGGGCAGCACCATTCCCTGGGCTGAGGTTCTGAACTGAATAAAAAGGAGAAAATGAGCTGAGTACCAGTATCCATCTCTCTCAGGAATGACTGTGGATGCCAAGGGACCGCTTGTAACTCCAGGGGATCCAATGCTGTCTTCTGGACTCTGGGCATTTGCCCTCATGTGCACACCACACACATAGACAGACAGGCATACATACACACAATTAAAATTAAAAGTAAATGTAAAACAAAGAGAGAGGATTCAGATGTATAGCATAGGAAATAGTTGGGCTGGCCAGAGGTATTATGAGGGAGCAAAGAATGTCTTTGGTTTGTGATTTCTGTGAGCTTTTCTTTTCTGATTTAAAACCATTATTGAAGCCTCTGTGTTCATTGACTGGCTCCCGAATCAGTGTTAATCTACTAACTGAAAATCTATTAGCTACTAGGGGCCAGGTTTATGAGTGAACCCTTTCTTCAAAAAAACCTCTGCATTCATCTAGAAACTTCTGGAAGCAAATGCCGACACGGGATTAAGTAAGCAAAGGCCTTACTTCAACTTCTTAAGCCTGCAGGGAGACCTTCTCAATAAGCAAAAGTTAACAAATCAAACAAAAATTCCCTCCCCTTCTAGTTATATAGACCCCAAGTGCTCTAGGTGTCTCTCCCCAGTCTTTTCTAACAATTATTTAGCGACCCCCAAGTCCTACTTGCTTCTGTTTTGTGTGTGTGCTTAAATTAAGTTAGCTTTTAAGGTGGCAGGCTTCACTGAGACATTTTCATGTATATATATTTATATAATATATATAATTTTACTTCATTCTTATTTACCTCCCACTCCCTACCCCCATTGTCCCGTCCCTTCCTTCTGGTCTTCTTCCTCTCTCACAATAGCCCTTCTCTCTCTCTCTCTCTCTCTCTCTCTCTCTCTCTCTCTCTCTTTTTGATGACGTTTGCATACAGCATTAAATTGACTGAAAAATCTCATTAATATTTCATAATGGAGTACACAAATTATATGGGGGAAACATTCTTGGGATATTAAAAAAGAAGGCTCACTTTTCCCTTCTATCAAACTTTAAGTCTGTGGAGGATGACTGTATCTCACTGGGAACTCTAGGCAGTTTCATGCAGATGGCACCATTACCGCCAGGCTCCTTGTGAGCAAAGATTCTGCTCATTTTACAGTTTTCAGTCATTCTGTGTGCAGCATGAAGGACTTACACTCTCTTCTCTACTATGCCACCACCATGTAGGTCACCACCCTTCACTCTCCTGGGGTGTGTCACACACATTCCATCACTTCCTCTAGCAAAGTCCCCTTCTACTCTTGTGTCATGTATGACAGAAATGCAATATTTGCTATTTTGAGTCTGGAATACTTCACTCTACACGTTGTCCATCTGTTTTCCTGCAAATTGTATCATTTCATTCTTCATTACAGTTAGATAAAATTCCGTTGTAGATATGTACAACATTTTCTTTACCTGTCCATGTCTTGACTACTATAAACAGTGGGACAAGTGGGTGGCCAAGTATCTCTGTGTTGTGCTGACTTAGACACTTATGTTGATTTTGTTTCTCTTTTTTACTTTAAAATTTTCATACAGAATATTTTGGTCATGTTTCCATCCTCCCTCAACTCCTCCCTGTCTCTCTCTTTCTTTCTTTCTTTCTTTCTTTCTTTCTTTCTTTCTTTCTTTCTTTCTTTCTTTCATTCTTTCTTTCTAAATCTTTACAGCTCCGCCTTTATACACAAAGATTTCTATGTTCCTTTACAATCAGGTAATTTATTTTGTCTGAAGGCCCACAATGATGGTACAATGACCCTTTCCTAATAAGAACTTTTCATGCTGACTAACTTGTCCTTAATTAGGCAGTGCAGGGACCAGGCAGCCAGCTCAGGGGAGCTGTTCCATGTCTTTGTTCAGAAATTGCCCATTGGCTAAAGCTAGCAGCTGGCTTCAGATGGAAACCTTGCCGAATGAGGATGACACTAGGGTCATGCCTCAAAGCCCTGTCTTGGCACAGTACTTGTGAGGTCCTGCTAAAGGAGGACATTTTTACAAACAAGGAGAAAAATCAGAAAGAGCAAAATAGCAGCTCAGCCTTGGAGATTTCTTAAGGAGCTAGAAAGGACCCCACCGAGTACATTTTAGCTGGTTAATAAGGAAGCAAAGTGCACTGGGCCCTGTATATAACCTGTGACTACACTATATCAATATATAATTACCACATTTTTTCCCAATCTGCCCCTGGGAGAGGTGGCAGGTAAAATAGATTGAGAAGAAAATAATGGTGCTCGCTGAACAATATATTAGATTGATATCTGTTAATACTTGAGCAGGCTGCTGGCAGGATAAATTGAGGGCTGGGAATGCTCAGCTGCACTGAGACAAAGTGGCTGTTTAAGCTTTGTTCCTCCAAGTACCTGGTGCGTGTGCCTGTGTAGAGTCAGCAGAGAATGTGAAGTTAAGGTTTCCCTGTCTTAGTGTTGGGAGGGCTCCATAGGCTTGTCCAGTCATCAGGCTAGAGTCATCCGGGAAGAGGGATTCCCAACTGAGAAAATGCCTCCACCAGATTGGCCTGTGGACAAGACTGTGGTGAATTTTCTTCATTGGTGATTGATATTGGAGGGGCCATCTCACTGTAGGGGTGCTACCACCATCGAGGTAACCCTGGGTGCCATGAGGAGCAAGCCAGTAAGCAGCACCTCTTCATAGGTTTCCAGGCTGGCTGCAAGTAGCCTGGGTGACTTGAATTTGAGCATTATGGGCCAATGCTCAAAGTCCCCTTTGTCACTATCAAAGGTGACAAAGACCCTGGTGCTGCCCTTAACACTGGTGAGGCAGGAGGGAGGCTGGGATGGAAACATGTCAGCTATTCACAAAGCACACTGCTGTGTTTATCCTGCAGCCAGGTTCTTGCCCCGACATCCCGAAATGATGGACTACAAGTTGTAAGCTGAAATATACCCTTTCTTCCTCAAGTTGC